GGGAAGGGAGAAGGAGGGAAGGGAGAGGAAGGAGGAAAGGGAGGGAAGGAGGGATGGGAGAAGGAGGGAAGGGAGAGGAAGGAAGGGAGAGGAATGAGAGAAGGGAGAAGAAGGAGGAAAGGGACAGGAAGGAGGGGAGGGAGAGGAAGGAGAGGAAGTAGGGGAGGGAGAGGAAGGAGTTAAGCAGAGCCTGAAAGCAGGGGTTGCCTTTGTGTGTGAGGGAATCACAATCCCAGCCTGGTTTGGGTTGGAAAGGACCTTAAAGCTCCTCCAGTCCCAGGGGCAGGGACACCTCCCACACCTCCCACCAGCCCAGGGTGCTCCAAACCCTGTCCAACCAACTCTGCCCCCCATCCAACCTCCCACATTCCCTCTGGAATTCCCAACCCCCCAGCCTGGCACGGGGCTGGATCCACACGGGGACACTTCCCTGCTTCACTTCTCCCCCTCTGAAAAGCTGGAACAGCCTCTCCCAGCCCTGCAGATGCAGGGAGAGTTTTCCAAAAGCAGGATTTGGAGCTGCTGAGCTGCTCATTGGCCTCTCTGCTCTTGGCCAGGAGAGCCTTGGGCTGATCCAGCTTTTTTTTCCTGGCCATGGGAAGCCCTGGAGTTGCTCTGACCAACTTTTTTTTTCAGCTGCTGGCAGCAAACCCTGCAGCCTCTCAACCAACCTGAGCCCTTCTCCCCTCTGAACCACAATCCCACTTTTTCTTTTTTTTTGAGGAATTAATTTATTCCTTTTGGATTCTCCCAAGTACCATTTTTAGTTTAACTTCAAGTTCCAAGCTCTGCAGCCAAGGAAAAGCTGGACAAACACACAGTTAAGAGAGAGTCTTCTCTTGCCTAGGACCAGAAACCAGCAGAGATTTCACACTAAACATTCCACAAAATTAAGATATGTGAGAAGGAAACACAGTCACAGCCAGTGTAACACAGGGATATTCCTACTGATGGAAATATTTCAGTCAATAATTCGCTTTTTCCATAGCTTTGATCATTTTTTTCCAGCCCAAATGGTTCCTCTTTGTCCTTGATTTAAATAAATACCTGCCTTGGCAGCAAAAACCACCTTTATATATAAATACTCCCTTTTAGGGAGGGATCCTAAAGCTCCCCCAGTCCCACCTTCCACCAGCCCAGGTTGCTCCAAGCTGCTCCAACCTGGCTTTGGACACTTCCAGGGCTCAAAGTCACTCATGGAAAACTCTAATTCCCTCTTTTCCAAGGCTCCTGCCATTGCCACTCTCAGTGGTGGCTTTTGATTGCAGATTGACCATCTGCAGGTTAATTAATTAATTTAATTCCTGGGCAGCTTTGGCAAATCAACCATTCCAGCAGCACAGGAGTGAGACAGGGGGTGAAGTGAAAACACCTCTGGAAAAATAAATCCAGCAGGAGAGTTATTCCAGCTGGGATAACTCAAGATAACCTGGAAGGGGAGGGAGGGAGATCTGAGGGAGGTCTGAGGGCTCCTTTGGTGAGGAAATGGGGGTGGGTTTGTCCTCCTAAAAGCTCTCCCACAAGCCAGGACTGATGCAGGGCTTGGAGAGGATCTCTTAGAGAGAGATGACACCAAGCTGGGGGGCAGTGTCCATCAGCTGGAAGGTAGGAGGGCTCTGCAGAGGGACCTGGACAGGCTGGATCCATGGGCTGGTTCCAAGGGGATGAGGTTCAACCAGGCCAAGGGCCGGGTCCTGCACTTTGGCCACAACAACCCCCGGCAGCTCCAGGCTGGGACAGAGGGGCTGGAGAGCAGCCAGGCAGGAAGGGAGCTGGGAGTGGGGATGGACAGGGAGCTGAACAGGAGCCAGAGTGTGCCCAGGTGGCCAAGAAGGCCAATGGGTCCTGGCCTGGCTCAGGAACAGTGTGGCCAACAGATCCAGGGAAGTGATTCTTGCCCTGGACTCAGCACTGGTGAGGCCACCCCTGGAGTGCTGTGTCCAGTTCTGGGCCCTCAGCTCAGGAAGGACATTGAGGGGCTGGAGCAGGTCCAGAGGAGAGCAACGAGGCTGGGGAAGGGACTGGAGCACAAGTCCCGTGAGGAGAGGCTGAGGGAGCTGGGGCTGTTCAGCCTGGAGAAGAGGAGGCTCAGGGGAGACCTCCTCACTCTCTGCAACTCCCTGACAGGAGGGGGGAGCCGGGGGGGGGTTGGTCTCTTTTCCCAGGCAACCATCAGCAAGACAAGAGGGCTCGGTCTGAAGCTGTGCCAGGGGAGGTTTAGGTTGGAGATTAGGAAGAATTTCTTTGCAGAGAGGGTGCTCAGCCATTGGAATGGGCTGCCCAGGGAAGTGGGGGATTCTCCATCCCTGGAGGTTTTTAAGCTGAGACTGGATGTGGCATCAGTGCCACGGGCTGGGAACCACAGCGGGGTTGGATCAAGGGTTGGACTGATGATCTCAGAGGTCCCTTCCAACCCAGCTGATTCTGTGATTCTCCAGAATCCTTTGACATTGCCAAAAAAGCAGCCAGAGGTTTTTAATTCCCCCCATCCAAGGCAGCTCCTCCCCGAGCTGGGAGCAGCAGCTGGGATGTCTGAGGGGATTAGAACTGAGGTCACTCCCCCTCCTCCTCCTCCCCTCCCAGGCACACGTGGCCATGGAAAAGAGCCACAGGGAAAGATTCCTTGGCTCCAGCCCCTGGGAGGAGTCACGGGATGGTTTGGAATGGGTTGGAATGGCTTGGAAGGGATCCCAAAAAAATCCCGCTGGGATCTGTTCCCACGTCGTTGTTCAGGTTAGAAAGGGGTGGTTTTGTGGTTTTTTGGGTTTTTTTAGTGTCCAAATTTATCTCAGGGTTTAATAAGAAAGGACTAAGAGGTGGTTTTGCCAGGGATTGGGATCCAGGATATCTGGGATTGGAGAATAATAGAATGGTTTGGGTTGAAAGGGACTTTAAAGCCCATCCAGTTCCACCCCCTGCCAAGGGCAGGGACACCTCTCACTATCCCAGGTTGCTCCAACCTGGCCTTGGACACTTTCAGGGATGGGGCAGCCACAGCTTCTCTGGGAATTCCATCCCAGCCCCTCCCCACCCTCACAGCCAGGAATTCCTTCCCAATATCCCATCTAAATTCCCCTCTTTCACTTTGAAGCCATTCCCTGTGTCCTGTCCCTCCAGCCCTCATCCCAAATCCCTCTCCAGCTCTCTTGGAGCCCCTTTAGGCCCTGGAAGGGGCTCTCAGGTCTCTCCAGAGCCTTCCCTTCTCCTTGGACACTCCCAGGGATGGGGCAGCCACAGCTTCTCTGGGAATTCCATCTCAGCCCCTCCCCACCCTCCCAGCCAGGAATTCCTTCCCAATATCCCACCTAACCCTGCCCTCTTTCAGTTTGACTCTCCCACCCCTTCCCTGCCACCCTGGAAACCTCTGGAAATCTCTGCACCTCTTTGAAGAGATTCCTTTAAGGGATTCCTTTAAGAGATTCTTTTAAGGGATTCTTTTAAGGGATTCTTTCAAGGGATTCTTTCAAGGGATTCTTTGAAGGGATTCCTTTAAGAGATTCTTTTAAGAGACTCTTTTAAGAGATTCTTTTAAGGAAATCTTTTTAGAGATTCCTTTAAGAGATTCCTTTAAGAGATTATTTTAAGGAATTCTTTTAAGTGATTCCTTTAAGGGATTCTTTTAAGGGATTCTTTTAAGGGATTCTTTCAAGGGATTCTTTCAAGGGATTCTTTGAAGAGATTCCTTTAAGGGATTCTTTTAAGAGATTCTTTGAAGGAATTCTTTGAAGGGATTCTTTGAAGGGATTCCTTTAAGAGATTCCTTTAAGAAATTCCTTTAAGAAATTCCTTTAAGAAATTCCTTTAAGGAATTCTTTCAAGAGACCCTTTTAGGCTCCCCCTGCCCTTTGGTGTCACAAAAAGGTTCCACAAACCCTCCCAGAGCTCCCCCTGCTCCAGCCCCCGATCCCATGGGCCACTCACCGAAGTTGGAATCCTCTCCCAGCTCTTTTCCATACCGGATCATGCTCTCCCCCAGCAGCCCCTCAGACTGGGGGTATCCGGGATTCTTCACCTGCCCCCGGATCTTGGACATGGTGTTGAGCATGGTCAGCTTGGCCCTGGAAGCTGCCACACAAACAGCCAAGGTTGGCTGGGCTGGAATATTCCAGAACATCTCAGAACATCCCAGCCTCAGACAACCCCCCTACACTGCTCCTCCCAGTGGGAAGGAGGGCTGGGATTGCACCTCCAGCATTCCCAGGACACACTCAGGGCTCCCTTAAGCCAAGCTGGATGCAAGCAAGGGATGGATTCCTTCCTGGATGCAAGCAATGGATGGATTCCCTCCTCTCTCCCTCTTCCTTCTCCCTTCTCTTTCCCTTCTCCTTCCTTTCCTCTCCTTCTCTTTTCCCTTCCCTTCCCTTCCCTTCCCTTCCCTTCCCTTCCCTTCCCCTTCCCTTCCCCTCCCCTCCCCTCCCCTTCCCCCTCCCCTTCCCCTTCCCCTCCCCTTCCCTTCCCAAACCTTCCCTTATCTTCCCAAACCTTCTCTTCCCTTTTTCCTTCCCTTTCCTTTTTCTTTCCCTTTTTCCTTTCCTTCCCTTTCTCTCTTTCCCTTTCCTTTTCCTTTTCCCTTTCCCTTTCCTTTTCTCTCTTTCCCTTTCCCTCTCCTCTCCTGGGACCTGCCAGGAGCTGCAGCCAACTGGGAAGGGGGAGGTTTTGTGCTGGTTTTTTTCCCAAGCCAAGCAGCTCCATGGTCTCCACCTCCCAGCAACATCCCTGGCTGTGGAAAAGAGCAATTCCTTTTCCAAGACACGAGGCAAAAATAGTTCTCCCTGCAGAAAGGCCAAAGGAGTTTCCCCAGCCCTTCCCAGAGCCCCTGGAGCAGCTGCTGGGAATGAGGGAACACTGCAGGCTCCAAAATTCCCTTTCCCAGCCCAGAAACAGCACTTTTGGCTGCACATTCCAAGGAAAAAAATGGGGTCTGAGGCAGGAGATGTGTCTGTGTTGGATCCCAGAAGGGCTGACAGCACCCCTGGAGCTCCCCTGATCCCAGTGTGGGCTGGGGAATGGGAAGGATGTCCCTGGTGTGTCCCTGGTGTGTCCCTGTTTCCCTGGAAAGCTGGAGCAGAGGGAAGGGCCCTCACCTGGGTTGGGCTGCAGGTACTCGATGGTCCTGGTGAGCACCTCTGTGACAGCTTTGCTGGTCAGATCCACCTTCTGTGGGGAACAGGAGACAAGGGGGGAGTCAGCTCAGGGCTCCAGGGACATCCCAGAGGGATTATCCAGGGATTTGAGAGGTTCCCTCCTCACCTTTTCCATCTCCTTGAAGTCATCGTCGAGCTTGGTCCCCTCGGCCCCTCCGACCTTCTCGCTGACCAGCTGTGGGAACAGAGCACAGGGGAGGATCTCAACCCCTCAGATCCCAGGGGATCATTCCCTGGGACACACACAGGGAACAGGGACGGGCCAGACAGCACCTGGGAGAGGAAGGAACATCCCGGAACATCCCGGCCTCAGACCAACCCCCACAGTGCTCCCGGTGGGAAGGAGGGCTGGGACTGCACCTCCAGCATTCCCAGGACACACTCAGAGCTCCCTTAAACCAAGCTGGATGCAAGCAAGGAATGGATTCCTTCCTGGATGCAAGCAATGGATGGATTCCTTTCCTTCTCCCTTCTCTTCCCTTTCCCTTTCCCTTTCCTTCCCTTCCCTTCCCAAACCTTTCCTTTTTCCTTTTTCCTTTTTCCTTT